AGGCTACAAATTTTCTGGAGTTACACCCCCACTAATTTTAGCTACAGCCGCCACTGCTCATCAGTCAACAAAATACAGCCCTGTGGGATGTCGTTGAATGAATAGACAACCACTAGTTGAACTATCCTATAGGATTTATTGCAGCTGCACAGTATACACAGACGGATAACAATAGTGAACTGCTCGAACACTGAACTGGTATTGAAGAACGGTAGAACTAAACTGTCACTGTAACTCAGTGTATCTTCTTATGTAGCCTAGAATCGGACATATAGAAAACGGTTGCGTAATAGGTACTGCTATTGCCGGTTACGGTGTGTATAAGTTCCCTAGCAACCGTTGTTTACTTGCTTCTGCCTAGCAACAGTTGTTTACTTGTCGTTGCTAAGCAATGACGCTTGCGTTGTCACACTTGCTTGAATGTGGGCAGTTCCCAAATCACCCTCCCGCGGAGATGGTTGCTCAGCTGTTGAAGCGATCAGGAAAACGTACATGACGTCCAGACCGTGTAGTTCGTTGTACAGACTGTGGTGGTACGGCATGCGGAAACGCGGTTGGGGTTTCGTCGGCTGCAGGGTTGAAGGTCTCGGTGGTGGTCCCACGGCCGGTCTCGTTTAACATGTAGGCAGGTTTGACCCTATCGGTTGACACGGTGACGAGCCTGCCGCGCATGAGGATTTGCATTGTCTTGTCCTTTCGTGATAGGACCCGGTAGGGGCCGCTGTAGGGGGGCTCCAATGCTCTGCGAGTAGTGTCCTGCCGGAGGAAGACGTGTGTGCACTTCTTGAGGTCGCTGTGCACGAATGTAGCCGGGGAGGCATGGCGTGTTGCTGGAAATGGTCTGAGGCGGGCCATATATTGGCGAACTTGGATGACGAGGTGCGCTGGATCCACTGGCTTGGCAGTCGGAGTTAGCAGCTCTCCTGGTATTCTTAGTGGCTCGCCGTACACGAGCTCAGCTACTGATGCCTGCAGGTCCTCCTTGAATGCCGTGCGGATTCCGAGGAGAACCAGGGATAGGGCTTCTATCCAGTGTTGGCCTGCGTGGCATATGATGGCTGCCTTTAGTGTTATGTGAAAACGTTCCACGAGTCCGTTAGCCGATGGGTGGTGAGCAGTTGTCCGCGAGAGTTGAATGCCACAGAGCTTGGCCAGGGAGTGGAAGAGTTGAGTTTCAAACTGACGTCCCTGGTCGGTGGTGATGGTCTGCGGGCAACCGAAGCGGGATATCCAGCCGGTCAGTAGGGCTCGTGCCACTGTGTCGGTTGTGATGTCCGGGATGGGGATGGCTTCTGGCCAACGGGTGAAACGGTCGACTGCAGTGAGGCAG